CCACTCCTCTGGCCGCGCCTGCCACCCCCCTATGGCTGCGCCAGCCTGCGCCCGCCAGCCTGTGCCCCCCCTCGCTCCTCCAGCTGCTTTTGGAAAGGCGCCGCTTATGGAACATATGCTGAGGGGAAGCGGCTGCTTCCCCTGCGCCCCGCTAGCTATGCTACTGTGTGTGCTACCAATCGCCCCGCCACAGTTAGGGAAACCCATCTCTGCAAAGCCATCCACTATTTCATGCACATTTCCCAGAGTCATGAGCCTCTGCAGCAGGATGCAATTTATTGCCCTGCATGCTTGGAGTAATACAGCCCCAACATTGGACTTTCCTACTCCAAATTGATTTGCAACTGACTGGTAGCAGTCTGGATTCACCAGCGTCCACACAGCAATTGCAACACCCTTCTCTACTGAAAGGGCAGCTCTCAATCTGGTGTCCTTGTGCCACAGGTCGGGGGACAGCTCAGCACATAGCTCCATGAAGGTTGCTTTATGCATCCTAAAGTTCTGTATCCACTGGTCGTCATTCCACACCTGTGTGACAATGCGATCGCACCAATCAGTGCTTGTTTCCCTAGCCCAAAAGCGACAGTCTACCCTATGCAGCTGCTCTGTGAATGCACAAAGAACTGATAAGTTGCTTCTGTCCATATCACACTCAGGTGCCTGCGATTCATCCTCTGTTAACTTTGCAAATAACTCTTGTGAGTAACTGTGCTGCCATGCGCGATGTCCTCATGACAGCTAACAGCGCATAAGCAAGAAGTGCAGGATCCATCCTCTCACTGCAGATGCTGGCACGCACTACAAAAGAATGACAGTTGGAAAAACGGCGCAAAAGGAAACCAGAAACCATTGGAGGGCTGGGCACAAAGCAGTGCATGACTGTACATTTTGCATGTCCCAGAATGTGCTGTGCTCCCGTTTCTGCATTCCCACAGCACCTAGCAATGGATGGTGTCACCAGACACTGTGGGATACATACTCACAGTTCATTGCTCTCGCAGTTGACAAAGGTGCCCCGAATGTGGACACGATCTGTGAATAGAGGGAGAAAATGTAGACACACTTTGACGACTTTTCTTTTGTTGTGGTTTATCCCCCCCCCTTGTCGACATTAGTTTCATCAACAAAACTTGCCAGCGTAGACAAACCCTTAGTCCACTCAAACTTCATCTGGTGTAATTAAATAGCAGTGTGTCATACAACTAATACTGCTTCTGTGCTCCAGAGACAAGTTGTCTTACAACTCATTTGCAAGTGCAAGTCAGTTTGGCTCTGCATAACAGTTATGGTTAGGGTCCTGAGTAGTTTACAGATTGCTTCTCATTAGAGTTTAACCCAAGAAGCTGAATTCAGAAGCCAGATGCTTAAACTTACAGCCCATAGTTCTGTACTTCTGGGGGCAGGTCATTCTCAGTGGAGGGCCCTTGACTCACATTCACACTCCTTCCCACCCCACCCTTGGTCAAACTGGCCTTGCAATATGCCAGGAAAGTCAAAAACGTGGGCTCTATCTATTTATTCAGGCTTTCTGAGTAGGCTGACCTTAAATGTCTTTATAGATCTTAAATGTCTTTTGGTTTCCTTTTTTAGAAGTATGTATATTGGTTTTAATGCTTAAATATATATTATTCATGTACTACAGAGAAATGTGTTCTCTGTAGTACATGAACAATAAATATTGTGGTGGGTATGCTTATATGCTGAAAAATACATCAACAAATTGTTTTCTACACAGTCCACTGCATCAATTCTTTAGTAACAGAGAGGAAACCAGACTTCCTCCTCCTTCCCAGGCTATGTCAGACAGAGGTTCTCACATGATCAGCTCTGTCCTCTGTGGTGCTGTTAGAGGAAATATCTCTCCTCCTTAGATAAGGATGTGGCTATATGAAGATGAGCAGGAAGATGAATGTGGCAGGGCACAACTTCACCAGGAACAACTAATTTGCCCACTTTGGAGGCAAAAGGGGATGGACTGTTAGCATTGTTCCCTGCAGACTGCAGCAGATTATAAGCTAGTGCAGGGCTGTTGCTCACCTTGGTGAGAGGAGGGAGATTTTTGGAAAGTTGATAGCTGAATCAAATACTGTATTTTACTGAATAGATTTACAACTTTAATTTTTGGGTTTTGCCAGATTCCAGATGAAATACTGGGATATTAACCGGGGGGGGGAGGAGAGGGGTGGATTAGATCTCCTAAGGGCCCTTCCAGCCCTACATTTCTATGATTCTGCATGCCCAAATTCACTATTTTTATTGCCAAATGTATGGCTAATAGGCCAAAGTTAGTCTCGTATGAGCAGGTGCAGCTCTGCTGGCTTGAATGGAATTACACCCACGTACAACAGGGCTAAATTTGTCCACTGTTTCAGATCCCAGCTGAGAACCATATAAATGAAGAAAAGCTATTCAGTTCCTTCCATCTCCCTCAAACCAAATTACCGCTTGGGGATGGCATCCAAAAGCTGTTCTAGCCATTTCTACCCACTGCTCTGATTCTCCCTCATCTTTACCTTGAAAACAGTTAAAATGGTACAGCTTTTATTATACTCAAAGCCCCAGGGTAAATGATCTAAAGGCGGTGGAGGCCTGGATTTACTTCAGGTCAAGGTTGCAGAAACTATCAGAAGCCGGCATCCCAAGAAAGGGGAAAAAACTCATGCAGGTGAGTCTTGCCCACATGCTCAGGGTTTAGCTGATCACCATATTTGGGGTCGGGAAGGATTTTTCCTCCAGGGCAGATTGGTAGGGGCTCTGGGGGGTTTTCGCCTTCCTCTGCAGTGTGGGGCACAGGTCACTTGCTGGAGGATTCTCTGCATCTTGAAGCCTTTAAACCACAAGTTGAGGACTTCAATAGCTCAGACATGGGTCAGGGGTTTGTTACAGGAGTGGGTGGGTGAGATTCTGTGGCCTGCATTGTGCAGGAGGTCAGACTAGTAGATCATAATGGTCCCTTCTGACCTTAAAGTCTATGAGTCTCTGAGAATCTGGCCCAGTGAATTCAATGGGACCAGGACTTGAGCCATTTCCTTTTGATTTCAGTGGAATTTCTTAATATTTTGTGCTGATGAAACTGATATTGGACTCATGCCTAGTGACAAACTGGTGTAAATCATACACTATCAGATTTGGCCCATTGTCCTTTTTTAAAACTTTATTTTTTATATTTGAATTTAGACAATGTTTTTAAACATTCTAGCATTGGAAGTCTAATAGTTGGGAACTGGTCCTGCTTTGAGCAGAGGGTTGGACTAGATGACCTCCTGAGGTCCTTTCCAACCCTGATATTCTATGATAACTTTCCACCAAAACTATGGTATGTATTTTCATGCTTCTGTAGGACACTGATACTACGGCTCCACGAAGAAGCTACTGCTTATGCATGTAGCACCGCATATGATTCAGTGTACCAACAACCTTGTTGGTTCTCATTTTACTGTACCTATGTGACCCCATGTTAAACTATGGATAGAGAGAAAAGGGGTACTAGCTGGTAAGCATAGGGTGACCAGACAGCAAGTGAGAAATTGGGACACTTTCCCCTCTCCCCCCCAAGGGTGTGGGGGAGCAGTATCGTGGGGTGTGTGTGTATGTGTGTATATATATAATATATGGCCCTAATATCAGGACATCTGGTCACCCTAGGGAAGTAGGAGTGATTGTCCAGGAAAAATCTTGCCAATTAATAGACATCCTTTTGGGGT